GCTTGCCTGGTGCGCAGCCGTGGGCCTGTGGCCTAGGGATCCCCGCCAGCGGGACCAGCAAAAGGATTTGGAGGCTGTGTTGCCGACTTGGGTGTCCAAGACACGGCTCCTGTTACTTTTGGTAGTTAATTATGAGCTAACATCCTCAAAGTTTTTGTTTGTTGGTTTGCTTTTTCCTCCACTGGCTTCTGCAGCTCTTGCTGAAGGAAACAGCTGCTGTAGCTGTACAGTGCTGTACTGGAAACCATCTGGGATGGCCTTTGTAGGGAATCAGCCAGGAAAGAAAGGCCAAGTGCAGGGAATTTGGCATAGGGTTGGCTTATTTTGAGATTTTTTTGGTTGCCTTTGGGTTTTGGGGGGTGTTGTTTTGGCTTTAGGTCTTTTATTGATTTTTTTTGTTCTACAATAGAGGAAAATGACATGCAAAGCATTTATCTTTTAAATACTTATACTGGAAAAATTGCTTTCGAAAGAGCTGTAGCAGCTTCTTGTTTTTTTCAAAGGTTTGGTTTGTTTTCCTCACACCAAGTTAAACTTAGAGCTTACAGCTAGACACACGTCCATAGCTAAGGCTTGGCTTAGAGCCATGGGGAAGTAAACCTAGTAGCACTGTAAGATACCTCAAGTCTCACCATTGACTTATAAACATACTTGCTATAAGTTCCTAAGAGCTATGGATTTAAAAAAAAGTTCTGTGGTATTTCTACTCCTGTGTTTTCACACACTATAATATGATAGAGTATAGATGAATAAAAATCCCTTATCAATAGATGTGTTTCTATGTCTTAGAGCTCTGTTTCCTGTTCTGCTCTCTTCAGTCCATTGGCTTTGTGTCTTCTAGATAGCTGCAGATGTGTTATGCTTCTTCCTTAGCCTGCTTCTGTCCCATCTGCATAGATAAAGTTTCAGACTTTTCTGTAGTAAACTGCAGCCTGAGCACCATATTTTAAGGCTTGGCTCAGATCTCTGGAATGTCAAAATGGGGCCATTCACTAAAGACCTTTTAAATGACTGACAGGTCTGCAAAACAAGGAGCTCTTTGTGGTGTTTGTGTGGGGGAGGTGTGGCAGAGATGTACTAAATACAAGAGGTGGAGTCAGGTGGTAATCAGATCCACATGTTCGGTTTCTAAGTGTTATCTTGAGCTCTGAGAATTTGAATTGGTATTTTGAATGGGAAGGGAGAGAGGCAGAATCCCTAAGAATAGACGTGCTAAATGAATAGACAGTGGATACAGGCAGAGAGATAATGTGTAACTGAAGAACTGAAGGCCAAAAGGGAAGCAGCAGGATGAAGTTGAACTGGGCAGTCTTGTGGCTGTTTATAAAATTAAAATAGAAATATATGAGCCTTTGTAACTGTAAACAGACTCTCAGGGATCTTCATGTTCTCTTTATCTTCTTATGGTGCCTCTGTTGTTTCCATATATTTCAGCTTTTTTACCCAGCAGACCAGCACATGGTAAGGAGGAAAGGTAGATTGGAGATCAGCATCATATACTTTTGAGTTGGATCCTGTAGTTCTGTCAGCCAATAAGCCTTGATTTTGGTGTAGACTGTAAAAAAGTATTGCTAGATGTTTTTCCAGTTTCATTCCCAAGAGCTAAGGAGTGATTTACCAAGTGGACATGATAAGATGTGCACTATAGAGGTGGGAAGTAAACAGATTTTGAATTTTTTCCTCTTTTGCAAAGTACTAGCAAAACACTAGCTTTCTTTGCCCTTTGAATGTTTACAGCGTGATCTGTAAAAGGACTCATTGAAACAAGCACGTAACAGTTTGCATTTCATAGCTGAATTTTGCAATTCATAGCTGAAAAGACAGAGGTTTCATTGCTTCCCTTCTTGGCGGTTTATCACTCAGCTGCCTTATTCTGTGAAAAAGTGACAGGACGAGACTTAAGGAGACGAGAAGAGACGAGACTTAACCTGTTTTCTAGATGGTGAACTTTATTTCTCACTTCCTAAGGGACTACTAAACAAGTCTGCTTTTCTTTGCCACTGTCTTCACCTTAGCCCTTTACCCCTACCCACTACCACTACCACCCTTGTCCCTGGCCTTTGGAGTGCAATGACTGAAAATCCTGCTTGAACTGAGTGATGAAACTTCTTATATTGCTTATTACTCCCAACAGGGATTATACCTGAATCTATGGCCACGTGCTATCTCAGATGGTAGTCATGGAACAGTACCCCAGAAGGATAAGAAACGTCATTTGCACTTGTTTTATGCCAACAGTACTGTTCAAATAAGTACAGCCCAAGGTAGTGAATGCTTTCAGACACTAGGTATCGGCCACAAACCACTGTGAGTTAGAACTAACGCTAACCAAAGGTTTCTAGAGGCTGTAGTTAGCCTGTCAGCAGCTGGTACCGTTTCACTACTTAGGTAAATCTAAGGACAAAAGGTTAAAATGTGTCCTGTGCGTGTATTGTGATTGTTCTTCACTAATTGTTGTTTTGTTTTGTTTTGTTTTAGGTTATACTACAATTTAAACCAAATAACTTGTTTAACCCTGACTGCTGGAGCTGCTTGACAAACAAAAGATTTATAACTGAAATAAGTTTGAGGGTTTCTTCAGTCTCTGCTTTCCTGTTTACAGCAGCACCTTGTTGCTACAAACTATGTCGAAGTTCCACAGCTTGGTCACCCTGACTTTGAATTACAACTGCATCTCTGATTGCTGAACATCCTGAAGGAGCACGGTGCTTATTCTCTGCACCCGTGACTTTTATGGGCAACTGGTCTGTGGATTGTCGTGGGGCAAACTCGGCCAAGAGAGCCCCCATATTGAATGTGGACTTCTTCTTTGAAAGAGTTATGAAGCATGATCAACTAGCCAGGATCCTGCTAGCGGAGATCTCAGTCAGGAGCATCAGTCTATGGAGCTGTTCTTTCAGTGACCCAGAATAGATAATGAGACCGATGCTCACTAACCTACCAGCCTACTGCCATCTTCTGCAGGTAAGGGAAGTGAGTGACATCCTACTGCAGGATGACAAAGCTAAGTAATCATATAGGCATAACAGTGTAGGAACTCCTGACCAGTTTTATGTTCAGAGGGCTGTTGTCTTAAGTGAGCCATTCCAGTGTTTCAGCTATAGTCTAGTCAGATAATTATCCTTATTCAGTTAAAGTCCCTGATGTGCTAGTCTTCGCTATCAGGCTGATGTCAGGTCGCCCTCATATAAACCTGAAACACTAGAAATACTGGTGGTTGTAGTATCAGCTATAAGCAAAAAGAACCTTCCAGGCAGGACATAATTTTTGTAAACGAGCTTTAGACCTACTCTGGTTGGACACCTTCCTGCTTAGTAACTGATAACTTCTGTGTCCTTTCAGATTTCTCTGAACCCCACCCTTTGCAGTGAAAGCTGCCTGTGAGGAAAATAGTCTGTACACCTTGTTTGCTTACAGAACTGTAGCCTGCATCAACCTACGTTGATGGCTTTGCTCCGTTTTGGCAATGCACAAATGTCTTAACAGCACGTGTAAATTCACTGGTGCCTACATCAAAGCATTTTGGTGTCCCAAAGATGCGCAGGGAATGTGGTGGTGCAGCCGCACAGTGACAGAGCGGGCAGGGTCCCTCACGGATGTGTGGCAGCCACTGGGGCCCCCCTGCCCTCGCCAGGGTGGAGGGAAGAGCAGTGCTCTGTGCCACAGGAGTCTGGGGGTGCTGTGGTGGGGAGGGGACTGGCTGCCCACCAGGCACCGAGTGGGCTGTGGCGGGCGGAATGGGGGTGTGGGGAAGCAGGACCTTTTGTGTGTCGCAGAGGCTGGTGTGTATCCCAGTGGGGTGCTGCAGCAGTTGCAATGCATGGTATGCTCTCCAGGGGGTTCAGCTGGGGGAACTACTGAAGATATGTGCTTGAATGTCCAAATTGCACCCTCCTCCTGTCTTATAGTGTTGTTGTGGTTGTCAGGGTGTAGTACCCAAATTTCTGAAGAAATCTGAATGTTGCCAGAGTAAGCTCAGTGCAGAAAACCTGCTCTAGGTGAATGTGCTTTGATAGGGAGGTTGGACTAAATGATCTTCAGAGGTCCCTTCCAACCCTTACCATTCTGTGATTCTGTGTGTGATTCTGAGAAAGATTTGCAACAGCTGACCCATGTAGATGATTGCATGCCTTAGGGAACTATACAGCCTTATACCTGACAGTTGCTGACAGCTTTCTTTTAAGTTCTGTTGCATTGCAGAGTTTCCAATAAACAACAGAGATCTGTAAAGCTTTCTAGTAATTGTCTTTGGATCTACTCTTGTATTTGGGATAATTTCCAATATGTTAAATAAGATCCTGGCGTGAGCTGTGGGTGTAGCATCTTCTAATGGTAATAGAAGTTGTCTGTCTCTTAGGATAGTGTGTTCACACAGGGATCCCCCATCTTAATGGGGCAGTAGAGGTTACCTTATGCTGTTGTCACAATACAAAATTGATCTGCTGACAATCACTTTTCTGTTGGTAAGTTGGAAAACTCTTGTTTACTGAATTCTAGTTACTATGCTTATAAGCTATGTTCAGTACTTCTAACAGTGTTCATTCTTTTTCAAGGAATTAACAGTTGAACTGAACAATAACCATGAGCTGCTGCACAACATGCATCTACAGCTCATCTTATTATGCATGTTATTTCTGAAAGTCTGGGCATTTCCAAGTGCTACCTTTATGGAGAGGCTGCTACACAACTGTGCAGAAAGCAAATGCATTTTGACTAATATCAAGGTAGAAATTTGTGCTTGAGAAGTCCCATTCTTTCCTCTCTTCAATACTAAGAGAAAGGTGAGGTCCCCATGCCCATAGAAAGGTCACTTACAGAAATGTTACTATTAACTACCTTTGCTGTATTATGTGTCAGCATTATCATGAGTGTGGGAACCACTCACGGAAATGGGGCTTTCCAACCTACTTAGCCATGTACAGAATACTACAGAAGTGGAATAACAAGCCCAAGCAGTGCCACAAGATGGTGAATTCAGTAGATCCTCTCAGATCTGTGCAGATCCCAAGGAGGCATCAGTTCTGTGGGTAGAAGGAACTTTGCTCTTCTTAAAAATTCTTTGATAGGAGATGAGGTTTTCAGTCAGTTTGGAGTGAAACCAGAGAAAAACCTCAAGATTTTACTCAAAACCAAGGGATTTGGCTTCTTTAGATTCCTCATTACTCACAGAGGCTGTTTGTTGTCACAAGTTTTAATGGGCTGAACCTGCTCGATGTAGCTGAGAGAAGTGACTGTCATTCATGCATACAGAGCAGGATTTACACAGCCCACCAAGACGTCAGTGAAAAGGATGGGCTGTTGGGTGATATTTACAGGACGTTCAAACACCTGATTGACTCAGAGCTTAATCACTTTGTCATCACATACCCAGTGCTGTAAACAACAGAGAGAGAGGAGAATATCCAGTGACATCTGCAAGCGATGAGCAGATTCTTTGGAGGGATTTGAGTCTTGACAGCAGGGCTTCTGAAAGGGAGTACAGCAAGAGAGAGGCAATGGACACCTTTACACTCCATGCATTAAAATGCTGGACTTGGGAACTGGCCTCCTATGTCTCCAGCATCGCCTATTCTTGCCCTTGTTTTGTTTTTCCTCACCAGAGCCAAAGGAAGCAGCAAGTCCTTTTCTACCCTTATAGGCACCTCTAGTAAAAATAAGGCCCTCCTCTTTTTTCAGCTCTTCTCATTGTAGCGCTTCAAACACCTTACCAATGAAGCCCATCTTGTTCTTTCCATTTTACAAATAGTGAAACTGAGACATAGGGTGAGGAAGTGATTAGGCCAAAGTCATCCTTGGCTTCATCTTGACTCAGATGTGTCAGCTGCACTATCAGAGTATCACCATACCCGACCTCCATGTTTGATAGAAACACCAAAATGTGATTTAGGAGGAGACTCCTGCTCTAGCTTCCACAGCTTCTAGACCTTTCAATGGCAAAAGATGTCGTTGGTTGCACATGAGATAAATAACATGGAGGATATTTATTCCTCTTCGGGAATTGTATTGCCAACAGGGAGATTTCATCAGGCATTCTGTAACATACATAACTGTGAAAAAGATAGCTATAAGTACTAGGTCTGTTTTAATTACCTGTCACAACTAGAACAAGGACAGCACTGAGCCAAACCAATAAATCTGGAGATTTGTCGATGAAATTTCA